AGACATTCACCAATTTTTATTGGTAAGTGATTGTACCTCAGTGATAAAGGAATATGGATAGAAAGGTGAGGGAAAGTGTTTTTAAACCTGTAAACAGAAGTCTCTTTGAGAGCAAAGAGTACAGGATTTTCTCCCAATGTTCTCACATAGCCTAGTGATGTGATAGCAGCAGGAGCTGTGGCTGCAGTGACAGTAATAGCAGCAGTGGCAGTTGTGGGGGTAAGAGTAAGGCACGTTGTTGGGTCTCTCCTGCATTATTTGCCTAAACTATTTTGTTAGATCCTCATAACAATCCTTTGTGGTAAGGGATCTGCTTCTTGAAAATGAAGCTGAAGCAAAGTGAATAAAGTATCTTGGCCCAAATCGCATAGCAAATGCATAGTAGAGACAGAAGTGCAATAAAGTCTGACAGCCTCAGTTATGCAGTGTGCCTAAGAGATGCCCCTTATTCAACCACTGTGCTGGACAGTTTACAGGTACATTAGCTCATTTTAGCCTCAGAAGCATCTCATGGTGCTACTTAGACATGGGAAAACTGAGAATTCAAATGATTAGATAACTTTCCTTAAGTCTCACAGCCATTAAGTAACGGAGCCAAGATTTTAAACCCAGGCAGTCAGAGCTCAGGCTCAGAGCTGCGTTCACCAGCAGCATCCTCATCCTGGAGAAGAAAGTATAAACTAATTTGACTTTATCATCTTCTAATAACCTTTCCATTCTGCCTTCTAATTCAGCCAGAGTACACTGGAATGTCAGGTTAAAACAGCCTTTCTGGTGAACAGGTGAGTTTGCAAAACAAGCTTTGTTTTTTCTGAGGAGTCATCTTAGTCTTGTATCTGGTAAAAATGAAGTTTTGTCTCATTGTGGCCCTGAGAGATATTTAAGGTTATGCCCAGAGATATCTTGAGTTTGTTATCTTTGACTATAAAAATAAAACCAGATGGCAGGCTACAGGTATGAACATTAAGGTTGAGTGCAAAGAGGTGGAAGGTATGAGAGGCCAAGTAATGGGAAGTTTCTTAGCCACAGCAGCTCAATGCCTTCCCTCTTCTCTCCTCTCTGTCTGTCTGTCTGTCTGTCTGTCTCTCTCTCTCTCTCACACACGCACACACACACACACACACATACTCTGAAAATCCACTGGAAAAAGCTGCCTAAGAGCACCTATATCCATTCATTTGCCTACACCTCAGATACTTGGCAGCAAAATCAACCATAGGAAAAATTGTAAGCTGCAATACACATCACCCTTTCTCCCCCATCTCTGTCTTCCTTCTGTCCTTCTTTTGTGGTGTCTTCAAGCTGCTCTCTTAACAGTCACAAATTCCTTATAAAGGCCCCTACCCTAACTACAGCTCTGTGTCCCTGCTTATGCTTAATCAACCCATTCATTTATTCAACAAATATGTATGGAATGGCTACTATAAGCCAGGCACTGTTTTAGGATCTTGAGATAGATTAGTGAACAAAAATCCCTGCCCTTGAGAAGCTTACATTCTAGGAGAGGTAGGCACAAAATAAACACGTTGTGTTATAAGTGAGTAAATTACTCAGTTTGTTAGATCATTAATATTATGCAAAAAAAAAAAGAAACAAGTTGAAAAGGGAAGAAGGATTAAGACAGCTGAGGAAAGAAGCAATATTAAATAGTGTGATCAGAAGAGGTCTCATTGAGAAGAAATTGAAGCAAAGATTCAAGGTTGGGAGAGAGTGAACTAAGTGGATCAACTAGAAAAAAATGTCAGGAATAAGAGAGCAAGTGCAAAGGCCTGGGGCCAGAGTGCGTCTGAAGGTTTGGGGAGCAGTAAGGAGGCCCTCATTCTGGACCCGTGTGAGCCGGGGGAGAGCTGTAGGTGATGGGGTTGGTGAGGTCAAGGCAGGTATAGTTCTCCACCTTGTAGACCAATGTAGGGCCTTCAGATGTTAAACTGAGTGTGCGTGGAAAGTAAATTACATTTTCTCTTGAATTTAATTGATATAGATAAAATATTTCTTCTTTTTTAAGAAAGAATAAAAAACCTAAGAAATAACATAATGGGAAGGACCAGATAACCTACTCAACTCAATTTTCTACATCTAAAGCATTTGCAGCTTGTTGAATGGAAATGCCTTATGCTATATCCTAATCAGTAACCTCCCCTTTAAAATCTATTACAGACTACTATAGAAATGCACATAATCCCATCCTAAGATATATTCTTTTAGTTTGCATTAACTCTTGTGAGAACATTACCTGTATGTTGGGGATAAGAGGTTCTGGCCCTTGAAGCTTACCAATTGGGTCCTTCATTTATGTGGCAGCCACAGTGAGTGTCCTTGCCAGCACCGTGTTGCCATGAACCCAAGACTTCAATAAAATAAAAAACACAGTTTCTTCCAATAACGATTTGAGGATAGGTGTCTTAGACATTAGGAACTGGTTTAAAGCCACAAAGTCCTCTTTTCAAATTAATAAGTAAGTGAAGTGATACTTTTCCCTGGTTTTCCTTTTTTATGCTAATTATCATTTACCCATTACTTAATTGAAAAGGGCTAGGTGGGGGGAAGTTATTAAACATTCAAGGGGAAATACTCAAATTTAGACAGAATATTTTATTCATCTAAATTCATCTTCTAAGGGCACTGTAATTTGTTCAGAAAAAAATGCCAATAAGCTGCCTGAGAGAAGGGAGACACCCCCATGGGAAAGCTTGAGTAACAAAAGATACTCAATACCATGGACACTGCCATGAAATATCCAGCAAATTAAGGGAGAAGGAATGAGAGGCTGCAGCAAAGCTTCCTTCAGGAAGAGAAAGCAGCCAGGGAGGCCAGAAACTAGGACAGAGAGAGAGGAAACATTCTGGAACAGGAAGCCATGGAGACACCAAGAACTGCACATCAGCTGTGGGTGTTTTTATGTGGATTTCTGCACCCTGTTTTCCATGACCTTCTCTCTATGACCCTACAAAGGGACAGCTAACACAGAGGTTTTAAGTTTCCCTAAACTATTTAACTTTAAAAAACAGCCCTGACACAATACACCCATGACATCTGGAGAAATAATTATCTCTTAATAAATAATAATAATTCTCTTCTGTAGGTATTTTTAATACTTGAACAGTTTACAGTGCCTTGTGGTCATTATCTCCCCTGAGCGCAGGAGGAAATGGGAGCACCTATTATTAACCCTAGGTTGCCTGTGATGACATCACCAAGGCAATGAGGTAAATGGGTTAGAAAAGGGAAAATGATAACTATATTTTGGGGCAAGGTTTCTCAAACCCAGCACTACTGATGTTTTGTGCAGATAATTCTTTGTTGCGGTTTGGGGGTGCCCATCCTGGCATTGAAGAATGTTTAGCAGCGTCCTTGGCTGACGCTAGGTAACACTGAGATGCCAGTAGCACCTTCCCAGTCATGACAATCAAAAACGCCTCCAGATTTTGGTAAATGCTAAAATGCTAAATGTAGATCACCCCCAGTTGAGACTGGGTGCCATGGAGTGATCCAGTTATCAATACATAACTATAGCTCATGCTCACCCTCAAAAACTATCTAAAAACAACAAGGAGGCTGATATATCCATACTTTTGAAACTACAGTTGAAGTAGCAATTAAAAAGGTAGCAGAAAAAAAAAATAACCAGAATTCTGTTTAGATGGGATCCAACCTTAATGCCTGTGCTCTTACTATGTGGATATTTTGCATGGACAAAAGACTGTTTTATAAATTGGTGCTTGCTGATGTGATCAAGAAATGTAACCCTCATGAAAAATGTTATCAATTCCTGAAGGAACCAAATCATATTTCCATAGTCAAAAAGTGAGCTTTTACCTTCCCCTTTTCTTTTAAGTGAAATAAAAACATAGTTTGAAAGTGCACCTACCCATTTGGCTCAGTAGTTAAGTCTTGTCTGGCTGTAGTGTAAAAATAGAGATCCCTCTGTCTGAACATGAAAATAGTACTTCCCCAACAAAAGCCAAACATCTTAGAGCTGCAAAAGCTGTTTACTTTTATAAAAAAGCCTTTTCCTCTAGTGCTTATTTTGGGATCATGTAGGTGTTCTGGTAGAGGTAAGCAGGTATATAGGGCTTAGAGGCAAACATTTAAGAGCATGCTTCCTGCGGTAGGTGAGGGAGTCTTGTGATAGTCACAACTTCCTACATGTTAGATTAAGAATATATGCTCATGAAATATATATCTCTCCCTTTTGAAAAGTTATGGATATATTGAAATAATGATAATGATCATAACTAACTGTCTATTCTTTATGGACACTTTATATTCATTCATTCAACAAGTGATTATTGAAGACCTGCCATGCACTTTGCAAGCCACATTGATTCTCAGCTCTGCTGTATGGGCAAAATTGACCATAGTCAAGATATTAAAAAATGAATATGGGTGTGTTTCAGTAAAACTTTATTTACAAAAATTGGAGGCTGTAGTTTGTCAATCCTGAAATAGGGTAAAAGGAATCAAAAGTTCAAAAAAGTCACCAATTTTAAATAGGATGCTCCAAGTAGAGGGAGCAGCCAGTGCTAAAGTCCTGTGGCAGCATGTCTAGTGTGTTTTAAAGCTCAGGAAGGAGCTCTGTCTGGATAAGGTAGGACGAGTGTGTAACGCTATTTATAACCACTCTCAATTGGTATCTCCAATTCATTTTCCTCTTTCTTCCTCCCCCGCAGCCCTTTCTGTTAAATGAAACATGATTTACTACAGTAAGTAAAGGCTCAGAAATAGGCTTTTCTTGACCTAGGAAAGGTAAGCAGCACTAATATATTTTATTTTGTCCCCATTAAAGCCTTGTTTCAACTTAATACCAAGAGCAGGGGTAACAATTGAAGGCAAAATGTGTAACCACGGAGGTTTCCTCTAGGGATCTTTTACCAGCATTCTAATCCCCAGCAACACTAACAGAATGAAGGTTTATGATAAAAAATCAACTATAAAATGTTGCCTCTTTATTCACTTGGCCCATTTATTCCTGAAGTTTTTTTAAAAGGCAACTGATGGGTGCTCGCTTCAACTATGCATATGTTAAGTTGGAATGATACAGGGAAGATTATCATGGCCCTTGTGCCAGGATGACAGGTAAATTCATGAAGTGTTCCTTATTTTTAATGAACAAATAGCAGTAGACTCATAGACACTGAGAAGTAACTGGTGGTTACCATGGGGAAGGGGTTGGGGTGGGTGGGTATCAAGGGGGATAAAGGGGCACAAAAATTCTGTCATAATATAAGTACGTCTTAGGGATGGTAGTACAGCATGGAGAACATAGCCAGTGATTCTGTAACATCTTCCTATATTGACAGAGAATAACCACACTAGAGGAGGTGAGGATTTATTAATATGGATAACTGCTGAATCACTGTGTTGTACACTTGAAATCAGTAAAAGATTGTATATCAACTGTAATTCAGAAACAAAAAGGCAGCTGATGGTTATAGTTCACAGAACCAGAAGACAGGGCTGGTAATTCTAAATTGTCAATAAACCTATCTTCTAAGAGCTCTCTAACTCTGGATCCTGATGTGCTGTGAAGGAAATATAGCCTGGCCCTCCAGATGCCAGCAGAGCAAAGCCCATCTGTGCTGTCAAGCCCACAGAGTCACCCACAGTGGGCCAGTACTCCTGTGTCTGTAAACCAGGATGTGACCAAGCCTTGGTGGTGGTGATGTGTGTGTGAAATTGTTTTTCATGTGATGTATGATGGAGTCAGCTTGTAAAGCCATGTGGCATAATAACTTTTAATTGATATTCCATCTTGTTCCAAAAATATGTTTCTTCTGAAAGGATAGCATAGAGGTTGCGAGTAAAACAAAAACCTGGATAAGGTTGCCAAAACTTCACTGTCCTGTCAAGCCTTGCCACCTACCTTCCCCACCATTACCTGCTCTCAGCCCCCCTTGAATTCTTCTCCCAGTCACCAGAATGCATGGTGTTGTCCCCCTCTGGTCAGGAAGGTCAGTGCCCCACCCTTGTCACTCAGGTAACTCCTACTCATCCTTGGGTTCAAAGGGCACTTCTTCAAATTCAGTCCAGTCCTCCTGTTATGCTCTCTCATGCTATAAAGGGTCCTTTCCTTAACAGCACTTTTCAGTTTGTAGTTTACACATTCATCAGTGATTAATGAACATCTCCCTCTTTCACTAACATGGAGGCTTCATGAGGACAGAAATCCTCTGTGCTCTCTAGCGCATCTCCAGCAGACAGCAGTGCCTGACAGACAGCAGGTACTTCATAAATATTTGTTGAATTGTTGAATAAAAGAAGCCTCCCAGCAGTCAAAGGAAAGACAGAAGCATGATAAGTTAAAATATTTACAAAATAATAAGTAAAGTCAAACAAGTTTTCCAGAAAGCACAACATTTCCTGCATTCTGAGTTTTCAGCAGAATTTCTCCCATGGGTCCTCAGAAACAGAACATTGTCTTAACTATGGCCAATTTTGTCCTACAACAGTAGAGTTGAGGGTCAATGTGGCCTGCAAAGTGCATGGCAGGTCTTCAATAACTATTTGTTGAATGAGTGAATGAATGAATATAAAGTGTTTCACAAAGATTTGACAGTTACTTATGTCATTATTATTATTTACAGACAATATCCTTATGTTGATATAATAATACATTTTAAACAGCTGTTGCTTAAAGCATCCCTCAATACAGGCCCACAACAACATGATTCAATATCAACAGTTCTAAAGGGAGCAAAACAAGGTGATCTGAGGACTCAGTTTTCTCAGGGTTCTGTTTTAACGCAAAGGTAAAATGACGTGCGTGAAATTGAGGGAGAGAGGATGCATGTCCTTCAAGCCCTCCTCCATAAAGATTTCTTCTGTTCAGAATTATGGTATGATTGGACAGCTGAGAGTTGAAAGTTATATCTCTGTGAACACAGAAAGAGCAAAGTCACATTCATTCTTTGACAATAATCTGGAAAGAGGAGGATTATTCAATTGACTGTTGTTAAGAACCCATCATTCACTCATCTGGAGAAGGAAGTCTCCGGGGCTGTGCATTTGTGAAAGATGACCGTAGTTCATACTCCCCCTTGTGGCACTTTCAAGTACACTGACTTATACATACCAGCCTGGTAAGGCAAGTGAGAAATGAAATTCCTCCGTTCAAGTCAGGTAACTTGGAAATCACTCTTTCTTTAGTCCTTCTAGAATGTCAGACCAACTTTTTAAAATTGGTGAGATTATTAACAGCATATTAATAAAACAAGTGTCAATAGACTTCGTATTATATCTTTAAGGATCAATGTTTAAAAAGCTCAACATCTGAGTTAAAGCTGGTAAAGGGTTTAATGCAAATTCAGAGAGGCCTGGTAATTCTTTACAATTACCACCCTTCCTTAATTATATTGCCTTATCTCAATTGATCCCCTTCAAGTAGCACATCAGAAGATTTGGAACTTTTAGGGAATGTGGGAAGGAATAACGTGGTGGGTGAAGCAATCAATAGTGTCACAAATGTTCATTTTACACATACTTACTGAGTACTTCCAATTATGGGGAATCAGGATTATATAAAAACTATTCCCTGCCTTAAAATATTACCTAGCAGGGGAGAGGAGAGCTGTGTATATATGGCTATATTACATAATAAAAAGTGATAAATGCTTAAATGTATTTAATATGATATTCCCTTAGAACACAGAACAAAGCCAGAGAAGGAAGGGGGACAGTTAATGAGCTTCTTTTTCTGAACCAACACATTCTAGTGCAGGACAAATATGGATACATCACTTATTCTGCATTAGGTATTCTAAGCGCCTCATTAAAATAATATGGTGTACACCTCACACCCATTGGATGATTAGTAACAAACAAGAAAATAACATATGCTGGCTAGGATATGGGGAAATCCGAACCCCTGTACATTTTTGGGAATGTAAAATGGTACCACTGTTATGGAAAACAGTATGGCCATTCCTCAAAAAATTTAAAATAAAACTACTATATGACCCAGCAATTCTACTTTTGGGTATATAGCCAAGACAATTGAAAGTAGGGTCTCAAAGAGATATTTGTACACCCATGTTCATGGGAGCATTATTTACAATAGCTAAAATGGAAGCAACACAAGTGTCTATTGACAGATGCATGGGTAAGCAAACTGTGGTATAGTCATACAATGGAATATTATTCAGTCCTAAAAACTAAGGAAATTCTGGCACATGCTGCACAACATTAATGAACCTTGAGGAAATTATGCTAAGTGAAATAAGCCAGTCACAAAAAGACAAAAATTGTATGATGTAGGCAGACTGAAAATCATAGAGACAGGAAATAAAATGGTGGTTGCTGGGGCTTTGAGGGGAAACAAGGAATTGAGGGGGTTGTTTAATGGGTGTGGGATTTCAGTTTTCCAAGAGGAAATGAGTTATGGAGACAGATGGTGGTGATGGTTGCACAACATTAAGAAGGTGTTTAATACTAGTGAACTGTACACTTAATTGTTTAGATGGTATATTTTATCTTATGTGTGTTTTACCAAAATAAAAAATTCTTTAAAAGATATGCTATTGAAAATTATGCAAAGAAAACAAAAAAGCCCACAAACACATGGAGGCTTAACAACATGCTACTAAATAATCAATGGATCAATGATCAAATAAAAACAGAGATCAAGCAATATATGGAGACAAATGAAAATAATAACTCAACACCCCAAACACTGTGGGATGCAGTGAAGGCAGTTCTAAGAGGAAAGTATATTGCAATACAGGCATACCTCAAGAAAGAATAACAATCCAAATAAAGAGTCTAAACTCACAATTAATGAAACAAGAAAAAGAAGAACAAATGAGACCCAAAGTCAGTAGAAGGAGGGTCATAATAAAGATCAGAAAAGAAATAAATAAAATTCAGAAAAATAAAACAATTGAAAGAATTAATGAAACCAAGAGCTAGTTCTTTGAGAAAATAAACAAAATAGGTAAACACCTAGCCAGACATATCCAGAAAAAAAGAGAGTGTACACACAAAAACAGAATTGGAAATGAGAAAGGAAAAATCATTATGGACACCACAGAAATACAAAGAATTATTAGAAAATACCATGAAAAATTATATGCTAACAAATTGGATAACCTAGAAGAATAGACAACTTTATAGAAAAATACAAGCTTCCAAGACTGACCCAGAAAGAAACAGAGATTCTGAACAGACCAATTACCAGTAATGAAATTGAATTGGTAATCAAAAAACTACCTAAGAACAAAATGCCTGGACCAGATGGCTTCACCGCTGAATTTTATCAAACATTTGGTGAAGACCTAATACCCATCCTCCCTAAAGTTTTCCAAAAAGTAGAAGAGGAGGGAATATTTCCCTTCTATGATGCCAGCATCACTCTAATACCAAAACCAGGCAAAGACACCACACAAAAAAGAAAATTACAGACCAATATCCCTGATGAACATAGATGCAAAAATACTCAACAACATATTAGCAAACTGAATTCAGAAGTACATCAAAAAGATCATCCATCATGACCAAGTAGAATTTATTCCAGGGATACAAGGATGGTACAATATTCAAAAATCCACCAACATCATCCACCAAATCAACAAAAAGAAGGACAAAAACCACATGATCATCTCCATAGAGGCTGAAAAAGCATTTGACAAAATTCAACATCCCTTCATGATGAAACCTCTCAACAAAATGGGTAAAGAGAGCAAGTACCTCAACATAATAAAGGCCATATATGACAAACCCACAGCCACATCATACTTAACAGTGAGAAGATAAAAGCTTTTCCTTTAAGAATGGGAACAAGACAAGAATGCCCACTCTCTCCACTTTTATTCAGCATAGTTCTAGGGATCATAGCAATCAGGCAACACAAAGAAATAAACAGCATCCAGATTGGTAAGGAAGAAGTTAAATTGTCACTGTTTGCAGATGACATGATATTGTACATAAAAACCCTAAAGAATCCACTCCAAAACTACTGGAACTAATAACTGAACTCAGCAAAGTTGCAGGATGCAAAATCAACACACAGAAATCTGTGGCATTACTGTATATTGGTGATGAACTAGCAAAAAGACAAATCAGGAAAACAATCCCATTCACAATTATATCAAAAAGAATAAAATACCTAGG